ATGCCCGGCTGCAGGCAATAGGTGCCAAAGGACCCGGTCCTTGACAGCGGGTAGGATACTAAAACATCTCTCCGAAGACCCCGGGGATTGGGGATTGGAGGCAGGTCTTTAGGAGGTCTTTCTGCTCCAGCTGGCCGCTGTCCCTCCTGGCGCAGAGCCAGCCCCCGTGGGCGTTTTGAGAGCGCGCTGAGCCAGGCACAGAGGGAGTGTGTCTTGAGGGGCTTGCAGTCCCCGCAGAGGACCCAGGCTGGACCCAACCACATGCAGACATTGTCCCCAGGAACCAGGCCCTGCTTCTTCCAGCCTACTGCCCCCCCGCCAGTGATGCTCATTTTCAACCCCTGGGATCTACTGGAGCATGGCCAGCAGCCTGACACCCCTGTGGGTTTAACAACTCTTGGAGTGTGGACAGTGCCACAGGCCCCTGTGCTCCCCCAGTCACTCCACAATGACCCCCTCCACACCTATCTGTCACTGCTGTCCTGGCCATAAGGATGGGGGAATCCCACAGGACAGGGAGGTGTCCAGAGGGTGGACATTATGGCAGGCAGGTCATACCACCAGGGGTCATTTCTCCAGTCCTAGAACAGAGAGGGACAGATATACCTAACCATAGTAGCAGAAAAGTCTAGTGCAGACCTCTGCAACTGTCCTCGACAAAGAGTAAACCACAAGTGTGACATCCTGGAAGTTATTTTAAGACCCAAAAGATGCTAGGGTGGTGGTCCCTGGCATCTTCATAGATGCCTGCCCCTACAGGGGCAGGTGGGTGGGCCCAGAGGGAGGGCACTGCAAGAACAACCCAAAGAGCACCAGAGCTAGGTCTTCAGGAGAGTGAGTTTCCCTGGCTCCAGAGCTGTGGTGTGGCCCCCACCCAGCAGGCGGGTCTGCAGGCTCATGGCACACGGAGTGCACACGTGGCCCTTCCCCAGGGCTGTGGTGATTCTCACCCTCCCAACAGTCTGGAGCCCTGCACTGCGGGACATCCACAGGCCTCTGTGCCAGTGTCCCCGCTGATGACACCAGATGGCAGAGAAGTGGCCAGCACCCTGGGTACTTGTGGGACACATGCACTGGAATGAGGATCCCCTCTGAGCGGGTCAGCATGGCTGCACCCTTCGACCTTCACTCCAAAGAAGGCAGCAGTGGCCATGAAGCAGGAGCTCCACACTTGGGGCTGATGCAGCCCAACACTGGGGACACCAAAGGGCACCTCTGACTGGGGCACCCAAACAGGAGCAGCCTGCACACAAGTGTCCCCACTGCCACATAGGACCTGACCCTCTAGATGGACACTCTAATGGGTCAACCTGGGTTCAAAACCAGCCTCAGCAACTAGGTTTATGACCAAGTGAC